GAGACAGGGAATAGGAGAAAAAGAAAAGGCAGTAAAAGCGATTTCGCAGTCCAGTGGCGTCGCTGGATTATCATGAAAATGAAAGCTACTGAGTCAGGGAGTATCAGGGAGCAAGGAAATGGAGCTGAGACAGATAACAGTAAGGGAGAAGAAGAAAACGAATAAGAGAACTAGTGTAGAGAAAGCAGAGAGGTCTGTAAGACAATATGAAAAGAAAGTGCGAAGAAAGAGAGAAAAGGTAAAAAGACAATATATATACGCCAAGCAGTGAGATTATGAGTGCAATAAGCCAAAAATGAGAATCACTTCACCCCATAGAGAATAATCAGAGGTTTCTTGAGAAGTAATATCTGTAATATGGTTTCAAGAAGACCAGCTCAGCTCTGAAATTATTTTCAGTTAAAGAAGGGATGAAGTCTCCCCATTTTGGTTGATCATGAGGAATAAGTTTAGAATAATATAGCATACAGTATAGCAAATAAAACTATAAAGAGCTGTTTGGTCAAGCATCAAAGAAAGAAAAAAAGAAAGAAAGAGAGTACTCTGCCATTTGATGTCTACATAAGAGGGTTTATGAAGGTATTGTGTGAAAGCTTATGTGTTATATGATGACAATATTGCAAAATATTGCAGATGCCATGAGGATTGGACTGGGAGGTAATGTAGAAATCCCAGATTGTGGCACGCCGGGTAACACATATTCAGTAAGTAGTAAGTCAGTCAGTTTGTAGTGCCATTAGGGTTTTATGTTTTTCTGTACTTTCCTTTACAGAGTTACATATTTCATCAAGGTAACTGACCTACTAGCGTCTCTAGAACTCATTAATTAATGTTATATTGCGTCTGTTTATTCTGCACAAGAACAGTATATAAAAACAGTAGTTGCAGTTGATAGGCGGTTACACAAAAGGAAATTAGCATATTTCCTTAAAACGCTGCCTTCTTTTCTTGGTATCTAGTCAGGTCACATATCGTTGCAGATCCTATTCAGCAAACAGCGCAGCTATAGTGTGTTCAGAAACACATTGTCATAATCTAACAATGTATTTTACCATTACTAGTTCAGATCAAATAGGTCAGATTTCACACAATTTAGTCCTAACCCGTACCAACTGTCACATTCTGCTGTAAATGGCTCCAATGAACATTTGGATCGCAGTGAATCCAAAACTTAAAAGGAACAATGCCTACCACTAACAAAAACATTGTTTTTCCACAATGTTTTGATAAAACTACAGACCTACTGTCTCCATTGCACAAGGAATAAGGTTATATACTCACATAGATTAACTGCCCCAAATAGACCATACTGCTCCTGTTAACACCATATTTTGTAAAACAAGATGGGATTATGAATACAAGATATTTACCCAGGGGACAATCACAATCACCCAGTGAATATGAACCACTGCCAAATAATTATACAATGCTTGCAAAACATTGGGCATCAATGTCAGCATTGTGTGTAGGAGTTGTAATTCATGTATGTTCAAACAATGCTTCCACAGCCAAATCAGTGAAAGCACTTGAGTCCCAAATGTAATAGTCTAAACAAAACTGCTACAGTCCTCAAAAAACTAAGAAATTAAAATGCAACAACAACCCTTTAAGCAGATAAGTCAGGCAATGGTGTACACACACAAACACGCAGTCAGTTTTCACTTGGGTATATCCACTTCTATGCACATCCCCTCCGATGCACATCATTCAGTAGCGTTGTGCATTCTGTTGTTTTTTTTTTATGTAGTTGTTTCCCTCATCTGTGGGCCAGTATTGATGGCACCTCTTCTGTGGCTAATGTTTATTACATAATGATCCTCAAAGCAGAAGTTAAGTGACAGTGTGCAAATACTACTGGCACACTTTTGGGTGAACTAAATATGGGGTAGGGTGTTTATCTTTTACTGGATATAACAACTTACATCTTGTTGCTGGATTGCCACTCTCAGTGAATACAGTAATGCCTGTGGGAAGGTAGGCTATGTTAATCTCACAAAACATAAAATCCCATCGAATAATAGGTATTATGGTACCAACCAGGTACCAGGATACAATGAAATCTGCAGTGGATCCACTGAACTGGGGAGAAAATCAGCCAAAGATCTCAAATAAGCCAGCATACATGTTATTCCACAAACCTTCAAACCAGCAGTGCAACAATGCGATTAAAAAAGACTTGTTGCTGAAGCCACCATTCTACCTTGCTAGCAGCTAGCCAAGGTCCTAAGAGGAAATCTATGTGAACATGAAGTCTTTGCATGTAAAACTGCCAGCAAGAAGGACTGCTGTAATTCCTGTCTGACTTGATACTTTTTTATGTACTACAACTCTACAATTATTATAAATAATTTACTTTTCAACATGCATGCATTTCTTTGTTAAGACTTGTTCGAGAAAGCGAGCAGGGGCAGGTATGCTGTATGTAATTAAGGGTTTCTAGGCACTGATACCTCACAATGTTGACTGTCTATGTTGGCCTTTGAAAGAAAGACTCATATGGACGTTCTATAAAACTGGAAATGAGAAAACATGACCTTAGGAAAGTCAATAACGGTGAAATCCTATGCCGCACAGAAAATGTTAAATTAAGATGATCTGTAAATGAGGTTATGGTCACTCATTTCGCTTAAATAACTCCCTCTGCCATTATGTGGGAAAATTATTAGTGCAGAAAATCAACATTATATATCAGTATTAATGACAAAACTAAGAAACAACTTGAATATTAAATAGTATTATATTAATATATTAAAACAAAATAAAATGAATCAAAATACAAAATAAAATTGCAAAAAATCATGGTGAACTATTGATTCTTGTCAATTGAAGTCTCACAACTTGAATGAAAAGTATTTTACATTCTATAATATATTTTTTAAATCAGTTCAGCTGGTGTCTCATATCCTGCCTCCAACTTCTCTAACATCTCCCTATGCCGTCAGCCGAATGGCAACCAACAAAAGGAGTGACTACAAACTGCACTATGTTTTATCTATAAAGTCATTAGAAGATTTTGCTCTCAGGAGCCGGACTTCAGTGGCCATAGATCAATTGTGTGCAGTAGTCCTCCCTTGTTTCTCCTATCTCACTGATCACATCAGATCAGCATGCTGGAGTGTTTTTGCCTGGCTAGGTGGGTGGGCAGACCTCCCACATGTCTCCAGTGATGCCATGGCACCTGATCAATCACCCAAGGCAACTCTTTGGGGACCGATCGGAGAGAAAAGGAGGGACGAAAGAGCGGAGAGGCATCAGTGGAGTGAGCGTGTCTCGTTTGCATGTGGGATGGCAGGCAATGCATCAAAAGATGACAGCTATCCCATTCTTCCTTAAATAAGAGTGGTGAGACTCTTGCTGGCTGTGCCTTAACTTTAATCATTCATCTAAATAACTGTTCCAGAAGTCTGCTACCGGAGGGGGCCGTAGCTCCAGGCCTGCTGCCATGGGCATAGGGGAATATAAAAACTGACGTTGCGCTTCTGGATTTCTCATTTGTAACTGTGTAAACATATATTTGACTCAGATTGCAAAAACACAAAAGCACTTGTCCTCGCCTCACATCCCCCCACCCCCTTCTCTCTTCACTCTTTCTCTCTCTCGTAGATTTATATAGTGAAATAGTTTGAAATTCATTGAGGTTAGACTAAGCAAGAAAGGTTTGGAGGAGGTGCAGGGTACTCGGGCTCTGGCAGCATGAGCGACGTGTTGAGCAGCTAAGTGACAGTGATTGATGCCCTCTGTGTTTCGAAACTTATCAGGCGCACATACACCCTCACTCGTCAAACTGATAAACAGTAGAAACATTTGCGATAAATAAAGAATCAAATAAACACGAGGGACTGGCAAAGAAGAAGAAGGAAAAAAAATCTGCATAATGAATAGACGAGATGGAAAGAAGGAGGGAGAAGAGAGGCAGAGACTCCCAGCGGGTGAAACTGAGCCTGGGAGACTTCAGTTGGGAGGGGGTTGGGGGATACAGGGACACATGGGCCTGTGACGACTCCGACAAGTCACCCAGGCGGCAAAATAAAGCCCGGCTTCCTCAGATTTGTTTCCAGTGCTCATCAGTAGGAGAGCTGGATGACGGATGGACTGGCACTGGGCGCAACGCGAGCGTGTCAAAGTTACTCACCATAATAAAGACCTGCTCTTTTTCCTTCCATTCGCTTCCCTTTTTTCCAGCCACCTGCGGTCTCACTGCCTACAACCCATTTCATTTCATTTCAATCTGCCTTTGTTTGTGTCTTCCTTCACCCCTCAGTTTATCCATCCTTCCTTTATTCATATCTGATCTGTTTTCCATCCCTCCATATTTCCTATTTCTTGCATCCTTTCATGTCATCGTTCATCCAACCATAACATGACTGGAATTATGACAAGCTCTGGATTTTTCATTCCTTAATTCTTCCCTCTTTCTTCATCCATCTCTCCCTCTATTTATTTCCTGCATCCTTCCTTTTCTACATCCCTTTATCCATCCAACAACCCATTTATGACATAACTGGAATTATGACCTCACCCTGACACTTCATTCCTTCCCAAATTTTCCATCTCTCATCTGGCCCACATCACTTACAGTATCTCTCTCCTATCCATTTCCTCTTTCATTTCATCTTTCCATTCTTGCTTCCCTTATTTCCTCCATCCTTATTTTCCTGCATGCATCCACCCATTAGTCCGTCCACCGATCCATGAACTGTGACCAGCTCCTGATTATTCCTTCCTTAATTTCTTCAACCCCTGATCCTTAATTCAATCCCTCTAGTCATCCTTCCTTCCCACTTTCCTTTCATCCTTCTGCCAGAGCCCAAGCCTCCCAGTCCCTCTCCCTGGTTTGGGAGTCAGCCGATATTTCGGATGTAATAGCATGATTAGACAAAGATGAAAAGACTAAGTGTTTCCATGTCTGCTCCTTCCCTGCTGTGAAGGATGCTCTCCATGCGTTTGGGGCCTCAGCCAAGTGGGGGATGAGTGGGGCTGTTACGGGGCAAAGCTCAAACCTGTGAGGGGATACATGGCTCTCCAGCTTGGGGCAGACTGTCTTCACCGGGGATGATGGCAGCGTTAATTGGAGAGAAAACAGTGGGAGGTGCCCATGAATAAAACCCCTCAGAGATGCTGGCAGCAGGGCACAGCGACATTCCCCTGTTCACTTCAAGGTTATGCACACACACAAACACACACACCTGCTACTGAGGCTGAAGCGACAAGACTCCTGTAGTATTATTTGCATAGAACGCACAAGATTAGCTCCAGTATGACTTTTTTCTGGAAGAGTAATTTGATTAAAAGGAACTGCAAATTACACCATGGATAAAAAAAAAACACATACACATTTGAGTGCACAATGTATATGAAGTTTTCTCCTCTCCTGCCTTTTGGATGCCTTTGCCAGTGTATAAATCACCCGGCTTCAAGGACGCAGCGTTGGGACCCCTAACTGGGATCTTTCACATCCACCATCTGGACGCAGAAAACCAGAGTGCTGACCAGCAGCCCTGCTCTCATTCTGTTCCTCAGGACGAGCCGCAAGAAGAGGGGGCGGGTGTACACTGTAGATAGAGACCTAATCAATCCAACAACTGCTTAGTGTATACTGAACTTCATAGTAAATCCTCTCTGGAGAACCTTCAAGAGGAGTTGAACAGAGTAGTAATGATATTTTGAGAGGGGAAAAAAGAAAAAGACAGAGGTTGGGACACACAAAAAGTCAGTGCCTTACTGTCAGTGCCTCCTCTCATCCAGAACTGTCCGAAGTATTCATTCACACACTCCCTCCCTCTCTCTTTCCTCTTCGCTTGCCCTCCTCCAGAGACGTGTCCTTCCATCATTCAACTTGGTTTCACACTCCAAGACCCAATATCAAAGTAGATATGAACAGAAATGAGAAACACAGGATTGTCTTTCCACAGACAATTGTGTCCACTGCGGTTATTTGTGTCAGGCTATCCACTGGTGTAGGTAGGCCGATATCTCTCTGGGCTGCCTGTCTGCCTGCCTGCTGTCTTTCCATCAGGCCAAAAACATTACCGTGGACGGCAGCATTCCTCTTTTCCTCCCTCTCTACCTCATATGACAGTCGCTTTGTTTTAGCTCAGGTCATCTCACCTACAGGGTGCTGCCCGTCAGCTGATCACTTGGTCACTGTCAACACCTAGATGTGCACACACACACACGTTGGGACACACACATGCACATCATCCTTGACCGTAGATGCTTATATGCTTACATTAAAAAAAAAAAACATCTGTGCACCCTATAGAGAGAGGCTTACCGTATATGACTCAGTATATCTGGTGTTCTTTAAATGTTGAAATCAGTAAATTAAATATCTGAAGATTAAGCTACTTATCATTATGATGCCCATATGGCTGCATAAAGGTTATTTTCATTACAGATTAATCTGCAGATTGTTTTCTCGATGGACTATGAAATGTCAGGAGACAACGGTGGAACAACAAAGTTCAATTTGGCAAGAAACACGAGCAGTCAGATGATCAGGCACATTGTAAACAAGCCAAGTTAAACCACTTTATCTGGAGATAAAAGTTTCGTTTTTCTTTTAATAAATTATCCCTTTCTACACAGGAAAACGGTTTGTGTGATAGGAAGCAAGGTAGATTACAGTTGAGCCAAGATGTTCTGTGATGAAACTTACAAAACAGTATTTAATTTTTAATTTAAAACGTAGTTTTAAATTAAAAACATTTAATTAATTTTAATTTAAAACATAGTCTAATCAGCTGAGTGCTCATTTCTTGCCTTCTTAAGCAGTGTATGTCTGTCTGTGTACCCAGGTCTTTGAAAATAATTAGGTAAGTAAAATGTTCTCAAAAACAATAGCAAACAATGGCCAAACTTACAAAAATAATTATAATGTAAAATCTTTGATTGTTATCGTCTCATATTTACTCATTAGCCAACCCTAGCACTGTTTGATTTCTGCAAAAAGAAATCAGTTATTCTCAGGTACACAGGACCTGCAGGAGAATATTTGTATAAAGGAAAATTGTGGTACTGCTATGATGGCTACATTTGTATTACTGACCTGCTCTCATTCACGCGGCTTGTGTTGATTCAACAGCGATAAAAGGCTCTGGACAGACTGAGACTTGTGACTAATAGTCCAGCAGGATCTGTGGTTCAATTACCGTGTGGGGCAGCTCTCCTCTGTCCCTGGGCTAGATGCTTTACTGGAATAGCTTCAGTCAACACACACACACACACCACAACTTCACGCACACACAGCCTTTATAAATGTGATGTCACTGACCAAAGGATATCAACACTGATACATTTCTCTCCCTCCTTTTTGCTTTAAAGATATGTCCAGAAGAAACGTATTGGAAGATTGGATATTGGCACTATCTAAATGAATGTTTTCAGGCCCTGGGGAGGCAAGGCTCACTGCACCGTCTGGGTCTTTAAAAATCAGGGGACAGCTAATGAAAAGCTTGGGTGAAGCAGTTTATCCACAATGAGAGAGAAAACACAGGAAATGAATAGTAACTATGAAGTCAATTCCAGCACTTTCACAGAACCTTTTTGACTGTTAGTGGGTGGGAATCTTAACCAGTTTCAGCTGAATACATAGTTTCACTTGGCTTGCAAATGGTCTTTTGTAATTTTGAATCCAAGGACTCGTAATGTGCATCTTAAGCAAACAAACTTGATTTACTGAAAGATGTCAAAGACATTATGTTGTGTGTTGCAAAGCCTCAGTTTGGACAATATGCACTTAAAAGGCAAAACAGCTTATATCAACAAAACCAGCTCGGCCTTGGCATTCACAGTAGCAAAAAAACGATGCATGCAATAAAAGCATGACTAGAAATCTCTCCAGCTCCCCCATTGGTCCAACCAGACCTACAGTGACAAAACTGAATTGACTGACACACGCGCACAAACGCCCATACGGCGCAAACACAAGATGGGTCTAAGGATCTGGCGTGTTTCCAGAGCAGATGGGTGGGTTGGGAAGGGGAGTGGGGTAGGCCTGGTGGGTGTGGGGTGCAGGAGAGCGTCAATCTGTCATTTCTAACAAGCCAGGAGACTTGGAGCCGGGGCAGGTCACAGACACACAAACGCGCACACACACACACACACACGCCCGCTCCTCGTCCTCATGCAGGCGTCACATTCCAACTGTGGCATTCCTGCTAATTAGAACACAAATTAATGATCCAAGCAAGTGAGACAGGCTGACTCTCCCTCCCTCTAGTCAACATTTAGCCTTCCTCTGGTTGCATCTTCTTCTGCGCTGGCTCCTCATTCTTATTCCTCTTCTCCTTTGTTTTCTCTTTTTCAGAAATCCTTTTCCCTTTTTCTTTTTTATGCACTTTCCCTTCTTCCAAGACAGGTGAGAGAAACACTTGAGGAATGTTGTACAAACACAACCTGCTTCAAATTTATCAACTGAGAAGAAACCTAACATTTGCATACTGAGGTTTTGTTACAATCCAAGTTGTAGGCGGAAGTAAACAACCCATTACTTCAGTCACACCTCACTTATAAATCTGCATATAACAAGCCGGGCATATAATGAATGTGAAGGATTTTACTTTTTAAGCTCTTTGGTCAATAAATCTGTTCAGGACATTCTGTCGAATCTTTTACATGTTGAGAATATCACCATAAAATGCCATTAAAATAAAGGTTATAATCGATTAAAAAAATAATTTAGTCCAGTTTCAACAAACTTTGGAAAAAAAGTAATGTAAAAGTCACAAGCCTCTCTTCCACGAAATCAATTCTACTTTTATAAATCTCCATTAAATCATCACCATGCAGACAAGGTGCACCTAATGACTGAACAGTCTACCTACATAAGGGCGGTGGTGAGCCGCAACTCCGCATATCTCTTATCTCTTTTAACTAGCTACTTCATACAGCACTTTGACATCCAGACAGGGAAGGTCAGACAAAAGACATAAAGTTATGTTCATGTTATTTTTTAACAAATGCTGCGACATAATTAATTTCACACTAGTGCTTTGAGACTGAATAAGTTCCACTACCTTCAACAGAAACAGAAATTGGCTGCTGGATTTGTCTGTACATCTGGAGTACATTTTCATGATGCAGTCATGCAAGAAAAAACCATAAGTAAAGCTAGTCAGGTAGTAAAATCACATCTTACTCTGTTGCTTTGAAAACCCTGCATCCTTTGTCTTACACTATTTTCCCATCAGCATTAGTGTGAAATTATCAGTGCATAGCTTGAAGAAACAGTGAAAAATCAGCTCTGTAACTTGCAGAACAAGCACTGGTAGTTCCCCTCAGAGCTGCAATGGCGAATAAATTGCTTGTTCGGTGATTGTATCTGTTATTCTTTCAGGAAGAACAGTGATAAATTCTGGGGCAAAGTCACAGAAACACAACAACAACAAACTCAATCTGGCAGTGCTCCTCAGCGGTCCAGGACACCTTGCCCACGATGCATCAGTGGAGGGCTGACCTTGAGGGCTAGGCATTAAGGTCAGGAAGCATCATTAGTCCTGCTTCCCTACTGCAAGGCTAAGAATAGGAATACAAACACAATCACTCACTCATCATCTCCATATATCTTCCCGTCTTGCTTTTTTATTTCTCCAATTCATTATTTTTGGTCCAGGTTTTCGGGAAAGCCTAAAACAATATCCGACTGTAGCACACGTGGGTCTAGGTGTGATAGAACAGCTCTAAATTAAGCATAATTGAACTATGAACTATAGTATCTATCATCTACACTGCCAAACCAATATGTCTCTTTTTTCATTAAAACTCAAAAAGGACTCACTTTCCCTTTTCTGTCATTCTCGGGCTGCCTCTTCTAGATTATATTACATATAGATGTGTATTTTTCTAGCATTCACTGGTCATGTTACCATACACCAATTGTTACTGATAGATTGTCTCTACATGCCAGGTCTTGTTACAGAAAAAATGTGCCTGAGGTAGTTTGTCAGAGACTGAAGTACAACCACTTTGATTTATTCAAATAAATAAATGCACCCCGCTCGTTTGAGTAAAGTATGCTAGAAAATAACACCTTACATGACAAGGGAAAGAACATGTTTTTTTAAACGCACACAAATCACCTGCTGGTAACAGCCCACACCCTCCATTTTCGTTTCCTTCTCTTCAGTCCCTGTTGGGGCTC